TAATATTCTTATTATGTGTGTGTATTATATTCATGACTACGTAGAGTAGTACACACTCTAGGCAATGCAAACGTTGATGCTGAATTTTATGACCTCATATAGAGTGGTAGAAAGTAGAGGTTCCTCCCCACTGCTATAGTTAGCTTGGCCTTGGTCCACCACCACCACAATCATCATCTTCATTATTATTATTATTATTATTATTATTATTTTAACTCACATATTATCAGTGTTATTTCGTCTCTCATTTTCTCTGTCATTTTGAAAATCCCAAAAACCAATAATGAAACAAAAGTACATGATCTAATTCTACTTGAATTAGACCCAATTTTCACTCATATCACCTTACATTCAATGCCGCACAATAAATTGATTGGACATAGATCATAAAATGAGATTGTGACATATCAAATCCTAAGTGTATCTTGAGAATAAAAGAAAAAAAATAAAGACATTTTTATCACTGCACCAACTTATTAATAGTAAAATCCACATATGTACTTATTCTATCACAAATCTACAACAATTAGAAGCTCGTCTCTAAGTCATGTTTTTTTCTCAAATATTCCAAATATTCGTGATTTGATTTATATCATTGTTAAGTTAAATATAATTGTAATCATCAAATCAATTATTGGAACTATTTGGCAACCTATTATTTGATATAAAAGCTACTCACTAAAACATTTGTGGAGTCAATTAATTAGGAGTTTGATTTGGACAAAAGAAAAATAGACAGAGATCATGGATCACTAATTTTCATTTGGGAACTTAGGGGAGTCAGGATTTGAACTTAATACCTTAATATTGTAGTGGGTGTAGGTAGATGAATTACCACTAATTTAAGCCTACAAGTACAACAAAAAGTTACATGAATAATTAATCTGAAACTTTGATTTAAATCACTTCATTGAGAAAAATAAATGAAACGTCTTTACTAAGAAAATGAATGAAACGTGATTGTTCTTAATTTTATATATACATCAGGATTAATAGACTTTCGAATCCTCCTATAGTTTTTAGGTTAATCAGACCGATGTGTGTATCTAATTAGTTCGATAGATTATAAAAAGGGAAATTTTCAAAAATGTGATTGATAAAGTAACACTATTTTATTCTTACCATTGTTGTTAAATTTATCTTATGTCACTAATAATCTACAGATTATCTTTTCATAACCTAGAGGTTATCTTTCGTAACCTACAAATTATCTTTTGTAACCTCGTAACTTATAGATTATTTTTTATAATAACATTAAAATTTTATGTAGTGACATAAATAAGTTAGAAATAATAGTTTCTCTCATAAAAAAAGAGGACAGTAAGCGAAAATGAAAAGGGATCACTAGCCTTTTGTGCAACCACAAAGGTTATTCAATTTTTTTTTCTTTTTTTTTTTTTTTGAAACGAGGGTAATTTGATTTTCTCTTTGTGTAAATTTCTTTTATAGTTATAGGTGAGGCATTGCTTAATTAATCGTATTTATTACTGCATAACTAATAAATTTTGCAAGAGAAGTCCCCAAAGGTTTTTTTTTATTTTTTTTTTTAAATCCTCTGATGCACACAAAAGTTAATTATAATTGTACAATTTCATTTCTAATAATAATAACGATGATGATGTTGATCATTTTTGTATACCTTAAAATTATAGTCTGCACACTTTCAATAAAGAAATTTTAGTTTATACGGACACTAAAAGGACAATTTGTGTTTACAATTGGAATGAACAGCTTAAAAAAAAAAAAAAAAAAACAATTGTGTGCGAATATGTATTTTAGCAATAATCGCTTCAATTTGTTTAATCTTTTGAATTACGTCAGGACATGAACTGACTAGTAGGTACACTGGATACATCACAACATTCCAAAATCACATTAACAAAAAAAAAAAAAAAAAAAAAAAAAAAAAAAAAAAAAAATCCAAAAACAAAAAAAAAAAAAAAAAAAAAAAAAAAAAAAAAAAAAAAAAAAAACGGGGGAAAAAAACGCTAAGGTGAGTTTAACCCAAAAACAGATCAATACCAGACTCAGGGAAAAAGAGGAGATTTTCACGGTACAAATTTCAGCATCATATCTTCAATATTGCCGGGAATATTATGGTCAATAGGCACAGTAAGCAAAAATAACAGAGTTTTTAATCATGGATTTTTCCACGTTTGAATACTTTATATACCAACCAAAAAAATAAATAAAAGAAGAAAAAGGAGGGACACAAGCTTTCAAAGAAGTCAGAATGTTGAGGAACAATAGATAGAGGAGCAATTAGGAAATAAAAATATAATTTAGGATTTAATTAAGTTATTTAAATTTATGATTTATTTTATCTATTTTCTATTAGGATGATTTAGGATTAAAATTACCTAGGATTATTTAAAATTTATTTGAGTTTGATTTTATTAAAATTTATGTGTCTATAAATAGAGCTAGTATTTGTACTTTTCATTTCAGACTTTGATGATGAATTAAATAAAAAAATATTTCCTCTCCATTGTCCTCTCTTTTCTCTAAATTCTTCTATTTCTTCCTCCAATTTTTCTCATCATCAGATTTCTAGTCAGAAACAGAAAATAAGCTCTCAAGTATTGCGTGGTCTGCCTTCCAAGCTCTTAATGTGGCCATGTTTTGACCTTCAACCGTTTCAAAAGCTCATTCATATTTTGTCTCTCACTTGTCCTTCTCAAACCCTCTCTCTCTCTCTCTCTCTCTCTCTCAACAAAATATATATATATATATATTTGTATCTTTTATTTGTTATCACTTGGTCCAAGCTCTCCAATATATAACAACCCCACATTCACACCATTTTATTTCTGGCTTTCAACACACATCAAGTTTTCTTCAGCCAAAAACAGCAGCTCCTAGCCCTTCTCTCACACACTCTTGCATATCTCTTTATAATTGAGGTTAATTTCTCAAACTTATTTTCTTATTTTTACTTATCTTAAAGTTTTCAATTTTTTCTATCTTCATTAATTATGTTTTTTCTTTTTTTTTTTAATTTATATTTTTTCAGGCTATACATACATTTGGTTAGTGAAGATGGTGATGATGGGGTTGGATAGGTTGGTGGGATGTTTGAAGTCAAAAATAAGGTCGTTGAAGATGAAGAAACCTTATGACAAGATTGAAAAGAGTGAAAGCATGAGAGTGGAGATTAGAAGCAGGAAGGCCAAGAAGATCATAGAAAAGACCCTCAAGATTGCTGATTCTCCCACCAGAACCTATGCTTTTTGATCAGAGAATCATCACTACTTCTTTTCTGACTTCTTTCCTACATAAAATATGTAGTGTGCTAGCTAGTTTATTGACTTCTTCCTGTACTATAAATACTATCTTGTTTTTCCTTAATTTCATGGATATACAAGATGATGATGATGATGACGATATGAGGTTCTCTCTCTCTCTCTCTCTCTCTCTCTCTATCTCATGCCAAGTGCTATAACGGTTAAAATCGCCATGGTGTACATCTTTTTCTATATGAGGTAACTCCTAAAATACAAAGAAAATTAGTTAATAGATGCTATTAAAGAATATAATATCTAATGCCCAGCATTGGGTATTACCGAATTAGTTTTATTAAGCTATGAAGCCTATATCTAGTTCTGCTTGAAGTCTTAATCTAGTAAAGTTTGTGGCTAATTTTAAGTGTATCCATTAATTACATAGAAACCTGGTCTTGAAGTCTATTTGGAAGGGTACTGTTATAAAATGGTGAAAAGTAATATGTATGGTATACCCCAAACCTTCTTATCCGAATCAATTACTAATCTATTTTTTATCTCCTTTAAACGACAAAGAATGTTCTGGCTTTATTTATCAAAAAGAGAATGTTATAAGTTTGAAGAAGGGTCCTAATCCATTAAAAAAACGAGATATTAAAATATTCGCATAATTTAGCTCACTTAGCTCTTCATTTTATAGTATGTTAGTTACCAAAATAAAAGGCGTTATATATCGGCAATAGTCTCAATAAAACTCCCCCTTCTGAGAGGGTAATTACTTGGCTTAATATTGATCTTATAGTGGGGACTCAACTCACACAATAACTTCTATACAATGCATCATTAATTTGTCTTTTTCTGCCTGCTAGCACATGTTTATAGAAACACTATTCGTTCAACCTTGTGATGGTCAAAGTTCTCCATCTTCTTGCCCATGTGAGCCGAAACAGCAATACAAGTATCACTAAATTTGGAGTATGTTGTCCGTGCAGTTTAATAATGCAAAGCGGTTAGATTTACGATATGAAAGATCATGCATAGAACTTGTTATATCTTAGACCTATAAATTAATGTGAGGCACATAAATTAAAGAAGACTAAATAAAGTAAGAGTAAAATATAAGAAATGCTGCTGAGGATTAAAGACAAAAGAAAAGGCTTAGTCGATCGTGATGCGGCAATTTGTTTGGACATGAAAATGAAGATTTTGGTAAATGGAGACCACGGCTTCAACTTCTAAAGTTTTACATTAATTAGAAAGAAACTCCACATTCTCACCCACTACATAAAAGATTCAATTAAGACCTTCAAAAAAAAAAAATCCATTAAGAACACCGCTTTTTCTTTTTGTATATTTGTTTTTAATAATAAAAAGCCACTTTGGGATTCATTTCATAACTCGGACCTAAAATCTTCTGCCCTTTTCAAGTTTCCACAAAATACCAAAACAATTACACAACTTTGACTATATAATATCATCATCCTTATCGCAACGGTGGGAAAGTTTTGAACTATTGTCACATTTTTGGTCTTTGTTATGTATTCTTCTCAAATTTTGCCAATAATAATCATTATCACATCAATATTGTACCTAAACAATATCAGTCCCACCCCCACCCGTTAACCACGTGAGCTAACCATAACATGTCTATTTTTGTTCAATCATACTTATATATCAGACAACATAAATTGTTTTCTTTTCCTCTATTTTTTCACCTCTATTAAACCTAATTTTCCAACTCTAAGATATACCTCAAGGCTCAAACTCAATCATTCAGTAAAGTTTCCATGTACTAGGGGAAAAGAGCTTTCAACGGCTGAGAGGTAACAGCCTTTGCAGATCTTTGCAGTCAATGCACGTCCATGGATCCACAGGAGGGTCAAGGCAGTAGGAATGGATGCGTCGAATTTGGCACACATTACAGATGATGAGAAGATCCACTGGCTCCAGACGTCGGCATACGCTACAAACAGTTGCTGAGTCATGCTGTTCAACCTCATCAGATTGTGAAAGAAAAAGAATCAGACACCGAAAGAGGAAATTCAGATCTTAACAAAACAAAGTGACAATTAAGTAAGGACAACGAGAAAATAAAAATAAAAATAAAAATAAAAATAAAAAGAAGTTCTTGTGACAGTGGGAAGAAAATGAACATTGCTTATGATCAGTTAAGAAGAGCACATGAGTCTGCCAATGTGCCTGTTACTGGAAAACCTTCCATGTGGATCAATATGTAGTTGAACATGGCTTCACTAACATGCGACTGGGCAGTAGAAGATTTCACGTGTTCTATAGTAATAGTACTAAATGGTTGTAGCCATGAAATACAGGCCAGTCTTTGTCCCAAACAAAAACCCTGATTTATTGTTAATCGTTTAACATGTCAAGGTACAAGACTGGTGTTGAGCAATATTATAAATCATGTTATGCAACATCCACCCGCCCCATATCTTTGTGTTTTTAACTAATCCTTTTCAGTTAAAGTGTTGAACGGCAAAGTATTAATTCCACAGAATTTTAAAGTTAAGTGAGAAATAGCTACGAAAGTGAAACAGAACAAAGAGTTACAGATCATACACTTAACTCTTTTTCCAGCAACAGGGTTTAAAAATTAAAACTACCAACAAAATGACAGGAAGTTTACTTTTATCAGCATAGATGGTACCTGAGCAGTCATATTGGCTGTTTCCTGATCATGAAGAATGAACATGTCCATCATTGATAAGCCACACGGAATGGTTTGAGAATATATTTTCTGACCATCAGTAGCTGTATCTTCAAACTTTATTATGCTTGCAAAACTTTCCTTGCATAAAGGGCATGTTGATATCTTTCTTTTTAAAGCCTAAATGCAGCATCATCAAATTAATGAGCACACATTTGAAATCAGACTTACTGAGCGTAAAGTAGACTGTTGAAAACCCTACGATCACAGACACAAAAACGTATACATACGCTAAATACTGTAATTTCATTGATATTCTCTGTGTCAATCCAGAAAATTTTGGGACTCTGTAGTAGCTACCTATTTGCACTTCAGCAAAAATAAAAGACACTTATCTCTCACCTATTCATAGGCTGCATACTTTTGATACTAAGCCACATCATGACCAATATTGATAGGAATTAAAAGCAGTAAAAATAATAAATAAATAAATAACATTTAAATTGAAAGGGCTACACTAGTAGTGGAAGCAAATAGAATAGAATGTATACCATATGATCAGCCCAACTTTCAATGCATGAATAACAGAATCGATGACCACATGGCAAAACTCCTCGAGTTGAGCTGAAATCTGTCAAACATATAACACAGGATAACTCTGTGGAAGAAGGAATAGTAGAATCATGCTTAATCTCAAGTCCTTTCGTTGTTTCCTCTTTAGAGTTCTCTGCATCAGAACACCCATCTTCTGAAGTATTTTCTAAGTCCATTAATCCATTCTCAGCATGCACATCTGGTTCATTTGGATCCATTGAAGCACAAAAACGACTTGGAACATCAGCTTCAACAGAATCCAAACCTTTATTTCTGCTTTCCTTAGGGTTAAAGAATCCATCAATAGATGGTCGTCCATTATCGGATACATTAGCACACATTGCTGCATCTAAAGGATTAGACAGAAGAACCACGACGTCTTCGTTGTTTTGGTTCAGGTTATCAACTTCAATTGGATAGCAATCTTGATTGGAGCCCGAGGGGAATAAGTCCAAAATATCACTGTGTGTACTTTTTTTAACAAGCCTTCTTCTTCTACGTGAAGTTTCAGGCTCATTGCTCCCATTATTATTTATAATCTTCCCTTTCCTCCTCACCAATTCCAAGGAAGCATGGGAACTTGTCCCTTCATGCTTTTCACAATAACCCAAAAAAAAGAATTTGTTACACCTCAAGTACTTTTCATATGTGTGAATATAAGCAGAAAAAACTCAAACGACAGAAGCAAGGCAATTGATGAAATTACTAGGGGAAAAGAAAGTAAATGGCAAAAAACTTAATCGCCATAAAATAACTTATCCAGAAAAAGAAAAAAAAATTATGAGGCACTTACTGAAAAAAATAAAACCAATATTAATCATAAGGGCAAAAGCCATATTTATTGAGTGCTTTAAATATTCACAAAAGGATACGTCATTTTATCTACTTTGTTGGACTTCCCAGTAACAACTGACAATTTCATAGACACGGTAGCATAGAATCACAAAGAACAAAGGAAATGGGAACCATATTAAATTTTCTTTCAATTTAATCGGTACATAGGATCCACATAAAGCATCCAGGAGCTTAAATCCTAATTACATGATCAGCATGGAAAAGACCTCTTGCAAACAACTAAAGAATCAAGAACCATAAAATTGGGACAAATTAAGACGTAGGTTCCACAACCAAAGAAGAACATAATTGTGCCAATCATTGATGTAAAATGAGATCCATGGCTACCTGAGCGCACATTTTATACTTCCATCTCAACTCATTAGTCACAGTAACGAGGCTTTTTCAAATGTAAAGAAAAATCATAGCAGAAAAAGAAAGATAAAATTGATTACCGGGTTTTTGAGTGGTCTAGATATAGGATGTTCTTGCCCTGAAGTGCTTTTGACAAGTTCATCCTTTGATTTATGAGAAGAATTTCCGACTTTATTGACATCACAAAATAAGGTCTATTAAAGACAGTGAAGAAAGAAAATAGTCAGAAAATTCCAATATCTCAATAGAAAACAAAAAATACGATTGTGTCAACACAGAGAGTTTGAGAAATAAAATCAGAAGATTCCACGCAACGCGTGTCTCCAAAAGCTAGCTAAATTATAAATTATCAATGTAAAAAAGATTGTACTTTCTAAGAAAGAGTATACTTTCTAACAAGATATACATGATTTTACATGACACTAAACATTCAAGGGAAGACAACTAGTTTGGCAGCGGGACATTGAGATTGAGAGATTCAGATACACTAACTCACCTGATTTAACAAAGAACGATTACAAACGACATCCCCAGATGCTTCAACCCCCATATAGCCCCTTTTCTTTTCAGAGCCATAACAAGTATTTGATTTGTCATAAAGAACTTTCTGCTTTTTCACCGAGGCACCAACTTTAGGAACTTGTGGAACTTCCGACAATAAGGGTCCCACCTCCTGCCCACTGCATTGAAGTAAAACATGAACAGGGTCCATATTCATTTGCAAGCAAAAATATTATAATTAAGAAGCAGTTTGAGCATTTGACAGTTTATAAAGCTATGAAAATTGAGGAGAAACCAGTTAATCATACCATTTGAAGGTATAAGGACGCTCCGGAACTCGCTTTCCTTGCTTTATGCAATCCTCAATCCACCGATGGTTCACTACTATAGTTTCAGAATTCATAGCAATACCGTATTTCCTTCCCTCAAATTTCCAGCAAACCTAATTCCCAAATTCAAAGGACAAACATCATAAACAACGCTTCTAAAAGTGTGACTTTGAAACCCTAAAACACATTTCACACCATAATTTCGTATTTAGGGTTTTGTAAAAGCAGAAATACGGTTTCAAAAGCACATTTCCGAAAGTGATTGAACTAAATTGAGCGAAAGAGACCAAAAGACCTACCAAATGCGTAATGGAGCTTGACATTGCGCCGACATAACTCGCACCGGCATGAGAGATGAGCTTTACAAGGTTCAAACGCTCGATTCCATGGTATCCACTGACAGTCGCGATCACAGATTTCATGCCTTCAATCGGACAACCTGTCGAATCTGCAAACCCCATATTTTCAGACTTAAAGCCCTAGAAAATGCTCGAGAAAATAATTTCCGCGTAGCCAAACACAAATCTCCGAGGGAAAATGCACAGAAAAGCTAGCGATTCCATAAATAGAAATGAAAATGTAAAAAATTGAAGAAGGAAGCAGTAGGTAGAAGAGGGAACAGCCATGGGAGTGGAAATTTGTGGGAGAGAGAAAGATGTTCACCGCGAGAGTGGACACTGCTGCAGCGTAACGGCTTTTGTGGCTCCGCCATGGAAAAGAAATTGCCCGGGAAGGACAAGGAAAAGGATGAGTGTTTGAATTTTGTTCGCCAACTGACAGAAGGAGCGAGATTTTTTCACATTTGCCTCTAAACTTATAAGATTTTGGCAACTTACCCTCGGAACTTTTAACTTTTACGATTTTTATCTTCAACTTGTCAAACTTCTGTAATATTCCCTATTTCACTAATTTTGCTTAGATTTTTTGTCAAATCAAGGGGATTATGAGTTGAGAAATTTATAAATTTATGTTACTATTTGAATTGATACGTTAGAATTATTTAAAAAATGTGCTTATTTTGTCATAAATTTGACATAATTATCATTAGAAGACCCATCGCAATAGTTTTATAATTTAAGAGAAAAAATTATCAAAACTAAAAATTCAAGTAAGTTGCGAAAACCCTAAAAAAATTTTGAAGCAAATGTAGAAAATATTCCTTTCTAAAATGGACTTGAAATGTGCATTATTAAAAAGGTGTGAAATACGAGAATTTAGAGAGATAAAAATGAGAAATAAGAGTTTTGAATAAAATATAAAAAGGGTCAAATTTTATAGTAGGTTATAAAAATATATACTCCCGATAATACTTTGTTTCAAATAGGGGTAGAGGGCCGGTAATAGGGATTACGATACAACACGACTCGAAAACAACATGAATTTCACGGGTTAGGGTTGAGAAAAAAGATGTTCGAGTCAGAATTGGATCAACCTGAAATTGACACGAAAAACACAGGTCAATTTCGGGTTGGACCCGCCTAACCTGAACACGACATGAAACTCGTAAAAAACTAAAAAATACATACATTTTTCATTACATAATTTTAATTTTATTATGAACTTGTGATATCATAATAGCTATACTCAAAATCGTATATTATTATTTGCTTAATTTCAATGAATGTTATTGTATTTTAGTGTGTTATGAATTTTAAGTTATTTTTAATATGTAAAAAACTAAATAAAAGTATACAACTTTCGTGTCAATTTCGGGTTCACAGGTCATTTTTGTGTCGTGTCGTGTCATGTCAACCTGTAAAGTAGTCGTGTTGTGTCCGTGTTGCGATTTTTAAAAAATTTCGTGTCACAGGTCGTGTTCAGGTTGACTACAAATTTAAAAAAAATTTATCAAAACACGATACAAACACAACACGTAACACGAATTGCCACCCTTAGACAGAGCCACTTTTAGCGCAAGGAAAAAAACATCCCGCTTGACCTATGGGCTCTTTGAACTTTTGGTCCAAAGATTTATATTTTCTTATGACTTTCCTCTTTATCTTCCCCTGAATTTTGCAAATATTGGCTTTTACATACATTTTTCTTTTAAAAAAAAAATCTATTATCCTCCAAATTTTAGCTTTTAGATACTATATTTCAAAATTCTTTAAAAATATTTCGATCATCCGCTAAAATTTGACTTTTAAACATATTCATATCTAAAACATAAAATCCCAAATAAAGAAAAAAATCTTCATTACAATATAAATTTATAACTTGGTACTTATAAACTTTAAAAAATTAATTACTTCATCGTGGATTTGATTCATTTCAAAGAAGAAAGAAAAGATGCAAATAGATAGAAAAAGACAAAAGCGAAAGAAAGAGTAATGAAAAAAAAATAGTTGCACTAGTAGTTTAGTTCAATACTTTTAACCTAATTGAAACAAGAACAATTTGAAGGAGAGCAGAAGTTGGTTATTTCAACCAAAAAAAAAAAAAAAAAGTCCCCATGACATGATCAAATCATGACATGATTTTCATTTGTAGACACCGTCTGAGTTTGCCAAAACATTTACAGACAAAGGCCACAACAAACACCGAGACCAGAAATAGTCCATAACTTTAGCAAAGCAAACGATTTGGTTAATCAAGGATCCAATTTTGATTTTTCAGAGTATTCTAACAATTACATTATCTCTCACGATGTCTTAAATATTAGGACAATGCCTCTGGAGCTCATCTCCGAACAGGGTTTCCGCCTCGAGCAGCAGGTTTTGGTGGTGTTGCTGACCCATAAGGCACATGGTTTGCGGGCGTCACATGGCCATGAGGCCCAGCAGCACCTCTGAACTGCGCATCATAATTACCAACCCTTGATGGATCATAGCCAGGTCCTCCTCTTTGCACATCATAACCCGATCCTCTCTGTGGATCGTATCCAGTTCTCTGTGCATCATAATTGGTCCCTCTCTGCAATTGTGTATCATAACCAGGTCCTCTCTGTGGTTCATAGCCATATCCCCTTTGTGGATCATAAGCAGGAACGCCTGATGCATCATAGCCAGGCCCTCTTGGTGCATCATAACCAGGTCTCGCAGGAGCAGGTCCGGATTGAGCTCCACCATAAGTTGGAGTTCCGGCAGCAACAGTAGCACTAGCACCAGCACTGCCGGCAGGCAGAGAGGTGCGTCCCTATTGTACAAAATGACAGGAGTGACAAATCATCAGTTTTTGTTTCATCTTCCGCATGCATTGTAAAAGTTGCTTTTCATTGCTAAAAATCAGAAGCAAATAGACATGAAGAATGAATTTTTATGCGAGTAGACATCTTCAACTAGGTCCAAATGGCCTTTTTTTTTCCCCTCATTGCATGATTTGATAGCAGCTCGTGCAGAACAAGACATTGCAATCAAAACTACAACGTCTTAAACGATAGTAGCATAACATGGATTGGAAAACACATTAATACATTTATAGTTCCATAACAGACCTGGGGAACACCATAGGCATCTTCATAAGCATTTTGTCCAACAAGGTGACCAGAAGCCTCATTCTCGTTATTTCCAGGAGTGCCACCATAAGGCGCAACTGCATTTGGTAGGAATAGTTAGTAATGACCCATCCTCTACAATATAAAAGAACTCAAGGGAAACTACATACGACGCCTTATGTAGAAAGGAGAACATACCAGGTCTTCTTTCAGCGTAAGCAGGATTCATTAACTCTCCTCGGAGCTTTTCCACTTCTCGTGCCATGGTAATGTAGTTCTTCTCCATCAGCTGGAGTGACTCAAGGTGATCATTGTATAGTTTCTTTTCATAGTCATAAGTAGCTCTGCAAAATCAAATCAAACAGAAGATCAGGGATTCAGCAAACCCATAAAAATCAGTTAAAACTAGAAGAGAATAATGCATCTCAGATTATTTCAGAAACAGAAAGACCTTACATTTAGAGACAAGGACATGTTGAATAAATTTATTTTCTAGAAAAGTAACTTAAACAGATAACACTAAATAGATAATACACATCTAGCATAACACTAACCTGCAGTGCTGATACTCTTGTCTGAGGCCGTCTAGTTCCGACATTAGAGCAGGAAGCTGCTGTGCATCCGTGTGTGCCCTTTGAAGATCCTGGGACAATTGCTGAACTTTGGAAACAAGTTCCTGCCTTGCAGCAACCAAGTTCTGGGCCTCCGTTCGAGCTTTCTGCAACTCTAATTTAAGAGGCTCTGCTGACTGCAAATCGGCTTCCATCTTGGCAATCTTATCCACCATGCCTCTCACCTGTTGGTCTCTCTCAGACTTCATAGCACCTATCTGAACGTGCAACATTTGTAGCTCATGTTGCGCGGCAGCCAGTTCTTGCCTCAAGGTTCCATGAGTCGCAGCAAGCCTCTGGTTCTCCGTTACCAGTCTCTGCATCTCAACGTGTTGCGCAGCAAGCTTCTGTTCCATAACTTCGGGTGGAGGCAACATCTCATAAGAAGGATAGGAGCCCGGCGGAGGGCGTATGCCCGGGCCAAATGGGTCGGGGTGCCCCATGCCCGGACCTGGAAGAGGGTGCCGCAGATGGGGAAGCGGAACTCGACCACCCTTGCTTCCCATTATAAGAACCTAACCTTTGACCAGGGCTGAGGAATTTGAAAAACACTAAACAATAAGTTACAGTTTCGCTAAATAAATAAATAAACAGAAAATAGCCCAAGTCTGGCCATTGTTCAAACTTCAAATTTATATGGTTGTAAGGAGAAAAAAAAAAAGCACAAAATGTAGTTCAGTGATTAATGGAGGACTTTCATCAAACAATTGGCGTGCATTGTATTAATTTGTTATTTTCAATACCAACATTCAACCAGATTGATACTTAGAATAACTTCAACGTTTCAGAACAATTAAACCCGAAAGAAAAATAACTAAAAATCTAATCACAACTATACACACAAAATCGAATGGAAACAATCGCAACAATTAAAAAAAGGAAAGAACAAAAAAAAAAGTTCGAATTTTGGGATAAAGCTATAATTTTTAGGGTTTGGGAAGAATTTATGAGGATTGAGGAAGTTGTTAAGGACATACCTGAGATGAGATTGAAGAGGTGAGCTCAGAAGATGATGAGAATTTATGAAACAGAGACGAAGAGCAACCTTCGTACGCAGAAAGAATAATCCTCCGGAGAACACCCACTTTATATATTTTTAGTCTAACGCACTAAAACGACATTCCAAACGTTAGTGAAGATTTTGGTGTCGTTGGTATGAAAACGACATGTTTCGTGCATGAGTTGTTTTATGTAACACCTCAAGAGATTAAACTGGATTAATTAAGATAATTGAGATTTATTTGTGTACCTAATCTGGTGTAAATAATTAATTATATTCATTAAATATTTTTGATATGTAAATTTAAATATTTTCAGTATTTATATTTTTACCTCAAAAGTATACGTAGATACACTTTCTAATCTACTTTTATAAATATCTTTTGAAAATTATCCTTATTTTTCTTTATTTCTTTTCCCTCCTTTTTCTTTCTTTTTCTTCCTTTCCTTCGTGAGCACCCTCAACTCTCTCTCTCTCTTTCCTTGTCGTTTTCCTCTCACTCTCCCTCTCTGTCGTTCTCTCACTCTCTCAAACGCACTCTCTCTCTCTCGTCCAATTTGTCACCAATTCTTAAGGATCTTGAGCTAAAGAGAAACTTCAAGGAGTTTTTAACATCAAGGGAAGGATTTGGGGTAAGATTTCTGAAAAACTCTTATTGAATCTTGAATTTTTCTATTAGAAAACCCTATTTCTAGTTTAAATTGGATTTTTGGTAAAATCACGGTGAAAATTAGGGAAAATTGGTTCTTTGGACTTGATTTAGTAATTAGAACCTGGATTTGGTAGTTTTCCCTTGAAATATCTCGGATTGGAACTTGGATTTGTAGGTTTTGGCCTTATTTTCTTCAGATCGGCCATCCTGTGTCCTTCTCCACCGGCCGGCCGGTGGAGAATAACTTCTCTGTCACCGGTCGACTGGTGTACACGTGATTTGAGCCGGATTTGTCTTAAAATGTTATTTTGACCCTGATTTTTAAAAAGAACCCAAATTAGTTTCATTTGGGAACCTAAAGTAGATGGATTAGTACCTTTAATCCATGTTTTGAGATCAAAATCCTTGGAATGACGATTTGAAACATGAAATGATATGAACTTGGAATTGGATTAAGGCACACTAATAGGAAATCGAAGTGTATAATTGAGATTGATTTGCTTTAGGAATGAGAATTGAATCTTAAAGCGTTGTTTTGTATCAATGTTAGTTGAAGAATCAAATTGAAGACTTTGAGGAAGCGGAAGCCGGAGTAGCGCAACGCTAGTAACAGGTTTAGCACTTGAGATGTAGGATTTCTTGTCATTTTCTTTGATAGCTTGTTTTAAAGAGTTTTGGCCTTACAGATGTTTTAAAGAAATGACATGTTTGTGAAAGAAAAGCATTTTAACACAATAGCTTGAATTTAGCTATTGGAATTATAATGAACTATTTCAGAGTTTTAATGAATGATTTTTTAAGATAAGATATCTTGCGAACTGGTAAGCCCGCTGATGGCCTAGAGATATGCAGCGAGTATCCTCAAAGGCAGAACCTGAACTGGGCACTACGGTAGTGATAAGGCTTGTGCTTGTGGTTTTGAAAGTAATTTATCACATCATAAATTACTTGTTGATGCCTATAATACATAATTTTTAGTTTATATTTCCTTTCAGAAAAATGATGTTAGGTTCCAACTGTTGTATTGGAACTGGATATCTGTTTTTATTTGCTTATTCATTATTTAATTGTTTATAAAGTTTATTTCAAAATACATCCTACTGGGCATTCTACTCACGTTTTATTTTGTTTCTATAAATATTAACTCCTCTGAGGCGACGCTAGAAGCAGCGCTGAGTAGCTGAAGTAGTTGCTACCGTCCGATCAAGTGAGGATTGTGTCCATTGTCCTTGTGTACAAATGTAAAGATTGTAAACTATAAGACTCTAAACTTTAAGTTTTTAGACTGTGGTTGATGTCTGTAAATGTTATTTACATGTTCATGTATGTACAATATTGTATATCCTGTGGGTGAACCCTAAATAATGCCATAGGCTTAGTTTAAAACTTATTTTTCAGAAAAGTGTGAAAGTCCTCATCACTTTCTTGTAATCTAATTTCAGTAAAATGTAGGGCTTGTTTAGAAATTTCTTTAATATTTTACTTATGGTTTTGGATTATTATATTTCTGAATGATTAATTACTTTCTTAATCATGTTTAACTTCTAAACAAGCCTCTATGTCACTAACCCCTGTTTTGGGGCGTGACATTTTATGTGACGAGACGTCGTTTTCAATAGCTGAAGTTGTTGGGCCTATCTCAATAAACGACGCGTTAGAATTGATGTTTTGTGTCGTTTAGCAAAAGAAACTACGGCCCTGATAACTCAAGTCACAATTTAAGTTATATTGTTACAGTATTTTATCTTATAAAAATTTAAATTTAATCTTTTTGTTACAATATTTTTCTCTCACATATACAATTCAAATTTCTAACTTGAATTGTAAAACAAACATACCCATATTTTATAATTTCCTGTACGATGGATTAGCAAGTTGTTTCTTGAGCTTTTATGGTAAATTAGCTCAATTTAATAAATACTAGGGATGTCTGCAAAATCAATCAATAGTCTTTAAATTTGAAAAGAAATGGTCTAATATACAGATTTGACATATTTCAATTATCATTTGAAATTTCAGGCCCGAAACTCGTTCGAGTTCTGAATTTAAATTAAAAAATAAATTTATGTGTGAAAAAAAATACTAATAAAAATAATTAAATTTAAATTTTTATAAGAGAAAATATTGTAATAAAAACTGAAGTGATTCGTAAAAGTGAACTTATATAACAGATGTGTTTCAATCCAAGTTATATCTATCAAATTAAAAATTTATGAGTAGCCATTTCTAAAAAATTCAGGAACAAATACACACACACACACACACACACACACATATATATATATATATATTTACACATCAATAAAGAAATAAACATTTCGTTTGCAGTTTACATGCATTAAGCTGTTGTGGCTTGTCGTTTTAGGCTGTAGCAACAGAAAGAACTTTTTCTTTTTTCTTCGCCCAAACTGACAACCAATTATTTTTTAATTAAAAAAGAAAAAAAACTGGTTGTTCTCTGTATTACTTGGAAAAAATAATTAATTTTTTTGCAAAAATTAAATAATTAAGTAAATTATAAGGTATATAATACAGCAACAGAAGATCACAGGTAATTCATTGACTTAATACATCAAATTATATAACAAGAAATAAAGATGTTACAATAATTAAAAAAAAAAAAAAGAAACTAAGGGTTTATTCCGCCCAGCTAATTCATTGACTTAATACATCAAATTATATAACAATGAACAGCAAGTTTAAAAGTAAACAACCACTTCCAACATCTCAGGAAATTTATTGGCAAAAAAGGTAAATGTGCTTTCATGTGAATCTACGCTCAACAACCTCTCATATTGTTGTCTAAATTCTGTCACGCCCTCTTTCTTAGCTTCTCCAACTATTTTCCGTTATTTCCTCTAAAACCAATTACTGAACTCCCTTACTAAGTCTAATTTTTCACGACGATATGTCATGAAAAAACGAAGGAACATCCAATCAAACCATTGTTTGCTCTTATGGTCCATCCTAATTACGCCACAACTTGGGGAATATTGGCCAGTGATGCTTCTATCTTTTCCTTTGAAAATGACAAGTCAACCATATCTCCTTGCAAGTATTTCTCATAAGCTGGGAGGTCAAAATGGCCATGCCCACACATTGCTGTGAGAATGACCTTTGCTTCTCCAGTCTCTTTGCATTTAAGAGCTTCCCTAATCGTAGCAGCTATGGCATGCGTTGGCTCTGGTGCTGGTATCAACCCTTCAGTTCTAGCAAATTGTATAGCACCTATTAACACAAAAAAGTCAAAAGTTCATAAATTCATTCTTTTTTCCTTTAGTACTAATCATTCTGCCACTTTTGAGTTTTGCCCCTGAACTTTTAATTATAAATTACCCCATCTATTTAAAAAATAATAATAATAAAATTGAAGAGTGCCCCAAAATCGACGAGTGGTGTTAAAATTTAGACCGAAACGCCCTCATGTACGTGACATGACGTGCTTCAATTTTCATTTGACATGTCAATATTTTCTTTCAATATTCATCCTCAATTCAGGGCACTCTGCAACACTTTGTTAAATTTAAGGGGTAATTTGCCAAACTCAGAAGTTTAAAGGGTAACTTGCAATCGTGATAAGTTCAAGGGGCAGATTGAAGAAACTTGAATCACCTTGAAAGCACTCAGTCTGAGGAATTGCAATGGCTTCCATAAAACCAAGTTCATAGACGTGTGATAACAATGGAGCCATTCCATGGTAGCGCAATCCTCCTGCAAAACTTAAAAATTTTCAACTCTGAGAACTATAGAAGAACAACATGACATTATAGAAAAAATCAATAGGGCGATAACAAATTACCGGCGTGAATTGGGTCAGGAACGAAATCATGGCCAAGGGTGTGCATCTTCATGAGAGGAGTCAACCCTGCAGTGTCACCGAAGTCATATGCATACACACCTTTTGTCAAGGAAGGACAAGCTGCTGGTTCAACTGCTCTTATCACAGGATTTATCTTCCCGCTAAGCATTTCGCGAATGAAAGGAAAACTAAGCCCTGCAAAATTGGACCCTCCACCAGTACATCCTATGATTACATCCGGCATTTCACCTATAGCCTCCATTTGTTTTAGACACTCCTCGCCAATGACGGTCTGATGGAGCAAAACATGATTGAGAACACTGCCTAGACAGTACTTGGTATCAGCATTCATGGCTGCAACCTCCACAGCTTCTGAGATGGCAATTCCTAGACTTCCGGGGCTCGTGGGATCCATCTCAAGGATCTTCTTGCCAGCTTCAGTAATGCTAGATGGAGATGGGTGTACTTTTGCACCCCAAGTTTGCATCATCAGTCTGCGATACGGTTTTTGATTGTAAGAGGCACGAACTTGCCACACCTATACACATGTAGCAAGAAAATTATAAACCAAGAATTGGACCAACAACTTCTTCAACGCATGAGTTTGTTGTCGACCGTCGTGCAGCAGAACAAGCTACAAAGAGTTTTTAGGTTCATCATGGTTATTTCTTCTTACCTCGCAGCCAAGACCAAATAAGCTGCAAGCAAAGGCCAGTGAACTTCCCCATTGACCAGCACCAGTTTCTGTCACAACATTCTTGACGCCTGCCTTTGCGTTATACCAGACTTGCGGAACAGCAGAATTGGGCTTGTGAGAGCCAGCTGGGCTGACACCTTCATACTTGTAATAGATTCTGGCTGGAGTGTCCAGAAGTTTCTCCAACCTCTTGGCTCTATATTCAACTCAAATGTGTAAGATGATTTTCCTCACAGTATACAAGGAAATTTCTCAAAATAATGAAGAATTCGGTGGTAGTGTATGGAAATGTAGACTAATAGTAATGACTTTTTGGAATGACTGATTTTTTTTTTCTTTTTTTTTTCGGATTCAGTACTTTCTAAAGTTTGCATTATCGATAAGTGTTTCCAACCACAACGAAGTCCCTAAAATCAATAACAATGAAATTTGCATATCAATAGAAGACAGTTTTAAACCCTCATATCACATCAGAATCGTATTACGTTAACTAAAGTGTGACAATTTGACAAAACTTGATAAAAATTTGACGGTTCAATACTATGCTCTACCAATAGATTTTTTTTTTTTTTTTTTAAAATATTTTTTTTTTTTTTTTTTTTTTTTTTTTTGGCATACACCACAATAGAATTCTCCTAACTATAATGATTAAAAGTTCCACTATAGAGGAGCAAAATAAGACCTGATGAGAGGGGTTGGCCTCCAAAGTTTATAAACATCAACAACTTCATCTGGGATATCTATGAATCTTTCACCGGTTGTCTCCTGCTTAATCAACTCATCAGGGAAGAGTGGAGACAAGTCTTCAGGTTTGACCGGTTGAAGAGTCCTTGGATTCAACGGCGGAGGAGGTTTCACAGGAAGATCCGCTATTAGATTGTACCATTTTCGAGGAATTTCTACTGGTTTTGGATCAGCATTAAGAGCTGCTCTTGCACTAGAATAAAGTCTCAAATGCACTGGTCTTCTCTTAAGTGGAAAAGATCCAATCCATTTCTCTTCAACTGAAAGCATGTAAAATAGTTAAAAGATTCAACAACCAAAAATAAATCAGCTTATTACAATAAGATATATAAATAGCACCAAATTCCCAGATAATTTTTCAGAGTTTACATATAGCTAATGTAAAGTCAACTTATTGATCTCCCACTTGGAAAAAAAAAAGGAAGAAACAAGTTCCAGATAAAAACAAAAAAGGCATATGAAAAAGAAAAGTTACCTTTTGTGTGACTGCTTGATGAAGGTGTAGGAAAAACTGAACTTGAGGAGCTAAAACACTGGCTGGCCATGCTTCTTGAAGCTTCTACTTTCAATGAGATAAAAGGAAGAGGGCAAAAAATAATAAAAAAAATTGAAGAAATATGTGAATGAATATGTTAAAAGGGTCTTCGACTTTGGTTAGTGTACTTGTCTAGTTTAGACTAAAGAAGACATATATAATACTGTATACATAGTATGGGAAATTAGTGAGCGTGGTGGTCGAGAATTGAATAGTCAAAGATAATCATCTGTTTGGCTTGCAAGTGCACAAAGTTGAGTCTGAAGGGAGTCTCAGCCCGTTCGGTTCACTAATTCGAGTTTTTAATTCGAGTTGAGATATGATATTATATGAGAACTTTTTACTATAGAAAAAATGTTAGATGTAACTGTTTCTGAGAGCTTTTTACTATAGTAAAACTTAAATTTTAAACCCAAATCAGCAAAAAGAACGTGGCCTTAAGGTCATTCTCTTCTGACGAAATTCACAAAAAATTTGAACTTAAATTATAATTTGATTCAGTTTATATTCTTTTATAAAATTTAAGTTTAAATTTGAGTTTTGAATTAAATTTGAGTTTAAATTTTCTCTTCAACTCGAATACATAAACTCGAACTCAAGTTAATGAACAATATTTTTCTATTCTTAAAAATGTCATAATTTTTTCGTTTTAATTCTAATTGAGATGATTTTTTTCTATGCATTCACAACAAAAGACGAATAAAACTCTACCCATATACCCTATTAAAAATTTGCCATCAATATTGAGTTTTTTTTAAAATACTATCTAAATACAAATTTAAGTTTTAACTCATCTAAACACAAACTCATAAAGATTCTCAATTCAAATCATAACTCAAATGTGCACATCCAAATACAATATCAAGTTATAACTTCAACTCAAGTTATAACTCAAACTCAATTTAAGATCATAAGTTCTCACGTCCTACAAGTACACGTGGCGGTAATCTAGGCTTGTAAAATATTTTCACAGTTGTTGAATCCAACGATCACAAGAGAAGCAAGACAATTCGTTATGGTCGTTTGTAGTCATTCTGAAAAAAAAAAAAAAAAAAAAAAAAAACATAATTAAATTTTTTCTTATTGTCATTTTTATAAAATGGTATGACAATTTGCATGGTATTAATCTTTAGGTCTGTTTAATTTATGCGTTTAAGTCAGTAATTCTGATTTATTATTATGAATTTTATGAGAGAAGAGTTTTTTAAATTCAAATTTTTTATGAGATAAAAAATAAGACAGTATAATTAGAATCATGTCTTTCAGTATACGAACTAAACTTGCATTTTGATTTTCAGTCATTAGATGAAAGAAAAACGATTTGAATTGTTGAAATGAAAAAAGACTAATAAAACATAAATGTTTATGAGTCGTGAGACAGTTTTAAGCCACATTAAACAACAAAAATTATAATATATATATATATATACACGGCAAAAGAAAAGGGCTACTGATATTGTGCACCAAAGTTTTAGCAAAAATAGTAATTAATTAACAAACGACGTATTACTAAACAAAGGTTCCCGAATCTCGAAGTTAATAATGGCCTCATTCATTTCGCCGATTCGAGTTTAGAATTCGAGTTTTGCTACAGTAAAAAGCTCTCAGAAACAGTCACATCTAACTTTTTTGCTACAGTAAAAAGCTCTCACACAAAATCACATCTCAACTCGAATTACAAACTCGAATCAGCGAAGTGAACGGGCCCACCGACCTCAGTTTATCAACAAAAATAAACCTCAGTTTATCAACAACAAAAAAAAATAATCCCTCACTGTCATTGTGAGAACTGAGAACAGCCGAGTGGCAAGTCCCACCACCATGCAACAAATTAACAAAAATAGTCTTTTCCATTTGATTAGTAAGTCCTGAAATCTTGGTGGCGTTTAATTCATGGATTCAAATCATGTTATTAGAACTATTTTTAATTTACGTGTATTTTTTGTGAGAAAAAATACTGTAGCGAACCACGAACCATGATTCGAATCAGGGAACGAATCTAGGTACCAAACGAACTCTAAGTAGATATTTCATGTGATTAGAATCATTTTTTATTTACGTGTATTTTTTGTGAGAGAAAACACTGTAGTAAACCATGAATCATGATTCAAATCATGGTTTGAATCCTCCAACCAAACGTCCCCGTAAAAGGATTCTTAATCTAAAATTATGATTTTAGGTTTAAATCAGTGTTTATTTATAAAAAATAAAAAATAGTTTTGATTTGACTCATTTAAAATTAGTGTTTAGTTTGGATATTTTGATTCAAGGTTTAAGTCATGTTGTGATGTTTTAGATCATGAATCACCCCTGATTTTAAAATCACTCACTCCTTAATTTTGGGTAGTTCAAACCCATGATTCTTGTTCTGGTTTCAGAATCATAATTTAGACTCAAAATTATGAATCATAGTTCTGATTTTAAAATTAAAATTAGAATCACTCTAATTTAAGCCATCATTCTAAATGAATCCTAAAGTGATTAAAACTTAAAGAGATGAATAATACCAATGATGTTTTTTATTTAATAAAAATAAAATCAAATAAAATTCTAATAGGACAGGAGGATGATTCAAACAGCTCGTTTAAAATGACATTTAATTTATAAATTTAAAATTATAATTTATTATTTTAATTTTTATAAAAAAAAATACTGTAATAAAATTATGAACTATAAAACTCTTAAAACGTCATCTTAAGTCTTCTGTCCTTTTTCAAGCCCTTTCCACTATTTGGTGGTCCTGACCGAAAGAGATAGGACGTGAGCTGCCTACCCCATTTTTTTTTAATTAGCCAAAACATAAAAAAAAAAAAAGTCCTATGTTCTTGTCCCACGGAGCAAAATTCTTAGTACCACAATAAGGTGGTTCTAGCTAGCGGACGTCTATCTTCAATTCAGAGGGACACATTTTGATTAGAAAGGAAAAAAAAATTCAGAGGGACACATATTGATGATACATTATTTAATTTGTTAATTCGAGTTAAAACGTAATTTTATATGAGAATTTTTTATTGTAGTAAAAAAATTAAATGTGACTGTTTTTAAAAGTTTTTTACTGTAATAAAATTTAAATTCTAAACTCAAATCGGTGAAATAAATGAGACCTAAATTATTTATACGAAAAGTAGAAGAGTGACTAGATTATGTATTAGGATTCTTTTAAGCTTAAGAAAATTATTGAACTTAAATATTAGTATTCTTTTAAGCTTAAAAAAATTGTTAAACTTACATTTTATGGGTCTGAATTTTAACTTTTGACTCTTAATTAATATCTTTTTAAAATATACTAATTAAGAATAAAAGCCGTCTCGTTTTTCCTTTAACCTTCAAAGAGTCCGCCAATATAAATTTTGAGGTCTAGGCAGCTCCAGGGCCCATTTTTGAAAAGTTTTGACTTATGTCCAGAGATGGCAGCGTCGAGGCAGCCTAATTAGGGCTTTCAATATCTTACCAATAGTAAGAGAGTGGATTTTTTGGATTCTCCGTCACTCATGACCTTCAGACAAATTAATTTGAAACCCTTTAAAAAAAAAAAAAGAAAAAAAAAAAAAGACCAATTTGGACTAAAGAGTAAAGATGATCATTACCCAATCAACTCCTCATCGCCCAATAAATGACGACCCATAAGGATTCCCCAAACGTAACTTGGGTACACAAATGAGGCCTATTCACGTCCGAGACGGAAATGAACTCATACTTTAGAAAAAGGTTGTGTACAAAAACAGGTATCAACACATATTGAGCAGAAAAAAAGAACGAAAAACTAGAATACAAGAAAGAACATTCTTTAATAAGGTATAAAAAGAACCATGCTCTGCTTTTTTTCTTTTCTTTTTTTTTTTTCATAAGCTGCCCTATAATTTTAAGAGAGATTATTACTAGTTTTCCTTTTATACATATTACGTAGTTAAACATAAAGAAAATTGCAGATTTTATTTTTTAAGTATCTGACTTATTAAAAGTATTTTTTTTTAAAAAAAACTTTATCCCTTAATTAGTTATAGTCTAAAAGATAAAAATATATGAATTAATATTAAAGAGGTAAAAATAAAAAAAGAGCTATATTTTAAAGGACATTTTTTAAAATTGTCTTATTACATGCATATTTACTTCAAAAGCGGCCTTATTCCCATTTGCATTTGATCCTTTGGGTGTGCCTAAAGGAGCATTTCAACACCAAACTCCCATCAAGTCTCCTCAAAAGAAAGCTCTCCACAAACACATAACACCCAAATCTCCTCCACCCATTTTCACTCCTATTCTCTTCAACCCTCTCAACCCTCACTTCCTTGTCCCTCTCTTCCCCATCAACCCACCCTCCTTCCTCCAACACCCACCTCATGTGCTCAACAATGGCGGAACTCAATCCAACACTCATCACTCCTCTCCTCCCATTTGGATTGTACACTTTGAACCAACTAAACCCACTTCTATCATCCCTCACTCCTTCCATTCCACCCACCAAATACACTTCCCTTTGCACACCTTTATTCACATTCACAACATTATTATTGTTGTTGTTATTCCCTAATGTTGATTGCCTATTGTTGTTGGTACTACTACTACTATTACTATCAACATTGATATTCCCACATGAGAAGATCTCTTCCCACCATTGCTCAAGTGTCATGGTGTAGAAAATGGACTTCCTCATCTGCCTCTTCACTCCCATACCTCTCTCCCTCACAAAGGGAAATGGACAGTGCCATTTCCCGATGAGGGTGGAAGGCGAGCGGACGTTGAAGATGGGGAAGTTGAAGTCAGGAAGGCGTGCTCGGAGAGGGGCGTCGAGGCCTAAGGCTTCGCTTAGTTGCAGGCGGTTGAGGCTCGAGCAGCGGACTGTCCATCCTTTTCTCCGAAGGAACTTGGGAGGAAGGCTGTCGGGAGCTACTGACTTTGCGAAAAAGCCGCCGCTGTGGTGGCGGTATATCCTGACTTGTTGGTACACGTCTCTGAGATTTAGAGGCTTTGGCTTTTTGTCCCTCAAGAAGTCCCTGAAGCAACATTTCATCATGTCACCTTCTCTTGAGCATGTGCATGCTTTCCTGCAAGATAGCCATATAAATAAGCAAACGTGTTTTTTATTGTTTAGTGTTGTTAGCAACATAGATGCTACTAATGCAATATTATAACCTACCAATAGTGAACATTCCTAAATTGCACGCGCTTCATATGGCCTTCCAAATTGTATACTATTAAAATTTATGGCCTCTAGTAACGTGCACTATTTATTAGTAAGTTTTACATTTGTGTATCTGTTTATCATCTAATTCTTGTGATACTTTGTCTAGATCTTGAAGGATCAAGACATTCAAAAACGTAAAGGAACTTTATATGGCCTCTTTTCTTTTCTCCTTTTTTTAATCAACCTTCTAAGCTTTGGTAAAAGTTTAGTTTATTAATTAGCAAAATTATGCCAGTGCAATCAACAGTACAACCCACCATAAAGTATACTTAAACTTGAGTTTAAGCTTGCATTAAATAGAGCAATCCTAATTAAGCTCAACCCTTTAGCTTAAACACAAAACTATCTAAGAAAGAAAAAACAGGCCTTAAACTTAAAGCTATCTAAGAATCAAATCAAGATCAGCATACCCTTTGTGCCTGCCTTTTGCTCTGATGACAAAGTAGCAGTTGGAAGAGAGAGGCTGATTCGGAACTGGGATGAACCAAACATTGGTTGACGTTGTTTCACGGTGCTTATCCGAAGTGTAAACAATGGTCAGAATCTTGTCCTGAGCAAAGGGTAGCTTCTTAACGCTCTTGCGCTTGCAAAAACCGCAACATGAACTCCAACAAAGTGTGTCCTCGGCGTCTGCTTCTTCGTCTGTGACGACCAAATAGCCTGAATATGGAGCATCAGGAGGCTTTATTTCAAGGCTGCTAGGAGATTTCCTGTACATGGAAAGAGGCCTTGTCACATACATGGTTAATCTTGATCTGAATTTCTTCCCTCACTTTCTCTGGTTTATAGCTGCTTTTTTCCTTGGGAATTAAGAAAGGAAAGTGGACTCTACGTGTAAGCCTTTATCAGTTTATTTATGAGATGTTTTTGGTGATTAGTTTATTGATGAGATTGTATTTAGAAAAAAAATATATATATACAACTTGCTTTATTGTCCACTCTCGCTGTTCATACTGTTTACAACTTTTACATTTTTACTGGCTTTCGTAGGTCTTTTCTTTCAGTATTGGTAAATAAAGCTAATGCGACGAGTCTGCGTAATACATTATGCTAATCTAAAGTTGCCTTGTTTTCTTTTGCTTTCTGCTTTATCTTTTGCTTTCTGCTTTATTAAATATGAAAAGGAGTTGCATTATTGAAAGACTGATCATGGACAGCCGACCACGGACTCTCCAACATATAAAAAGTTTCCTAATTATATCCCAGTATTGGTATCTAGCGAAATGATTTGAAACAAGAACAGTAGTATTAAGGGAAAAACTTGCATAGTTTTTTTGGAACAATTCTAAATGAAAGCTCTCAAAATTTCGTCTACCGTCATCATTCCTCGGGATATTCTTAAGTTAACACAAAAAACTTATTTAAGCATCATCCAGCGGTTATCGGGAACCGGCACTAATTCCCAAAGCTTTGATCAAATCAGTTTATGAATCTAATTTAAGAAATCTATTTATAACTCCCATCATCTCCCCACCAGGAAAACGTCCAAGACATCCTCTTGCAGCAGCAAGCTCATTGAACTCACAGACTGAATCTCCAGCAAAAGCTTGAATCTGCTTCTTCGTATCCTCTTCTTCTGCTGCCACATTTTCTGCCAGGTCTTCCCCTGCTTTAATGGTTGGAAGAGGGAATGGATCGGTCGAAATTCCCAGGATGGATTCCAAACCAACTGCGCCAATGAAGTCTTTCAACCGGCATATCGCAAATGGGACCGGCTCAAAACTGTGGTCTCCATATTCAACCGGGGTGGAATGGTCTCCGGTGACACATAAGAAGTACTGAAAATTCCCTGTTGGTTCAGCTTCCCACAGGAACCTGGCCAGTTGCCCTATAGCTCGGTCTACAGCCTCCAGCCCTTTGACTTTGAACACGGTTGCTTTATCGTGGCCTGCATCATCTATTGCCTGCAATAGCAAATCCAAATGAGGCTCTTTCACAACAGCAAAACCGGGAAAAGCTTCAAAACAATATAACGGTCTCACTAAAATTACAGTTCTGCCACACAAATTAACCTGAGGTTCTCAAGGTTAGATAGATGTTCAAGAGACAGGAGCAATAACTGGTGATGTTTTTACTTCATTAAATCATGGGCTACCTCTATACGAGGTTCATCTTTAGATCATAGTCATTTGGCAACAAGCATGAGGCACGTGTTTCTGGTCGGGGGTTATCACGAACGGCATATTAACTTGCTATGAGTGTTTTCAAACTTCACTATAGTAGATGAAAATCAAGCTACCATGTCTTGAGTTTCAAAAGGGAAAGTTTCTTAAAGAAACTATGCAATTTGCATATAAGAAACAAGAACAACCAAAGGGAAGTAGGACCTAAAGGGTTATACCTTTATGTGCAGAAACCCAAAATCATAGCCATCTGGACGGCCTGGTTTGTGCTCGTCTTCCCCAGGTACAAAAACATTTGGACAAGACTTCAAAGGAGCTGAGAGTGCCGCAGCTATTGCACTTGCTTTGGAAGTTAGAAGTGTCCGATAGTCTCCAGTTGCTCCAGGAGCCTCCAGGATGTCAATGCCAAGAGATAAACCCAGGCCAGCAATAATTTTAGTGGGAGCTACCATACATGGCCATAACCCGTGTTTCTTTTCAAATGGAGGAACCTGCAATATGGCATTATGAAATAGTGTATGTTATGTGGCCGCTAGTCCAGTCCACTAATTATATCAATAGGGAATATGCCAATCAATTAAGAAAGCTGTGAAATTCATGCAAATCCATGCCTTTCACATTTCCACATAAATAATGAGACGGAGTATTGATTGAGACAACCAACCTCAATTCGAATACCACAGCCTCGTAAAAGGACAACATTAGCTATGTTCTTCCCTTCTGAGGCTCGCTTTGCATTGAGTGGATGAGAAACCAGAATTCGTGAAATCTCCTTGGATAACTCGTTAACTACTTCGGCTGTATGTTTTGCTTCTTCAGTATCATCTAGAGCTTCAGCTTTCAAAAGTAAGCGGTTGTCCTTTAATGGGTCTGTTCCTGATATGTTTCCACTTAATTTTGGCCCTTTTACCACAACTCCACACCTATGTTCTGTAGCATATCTGTTAGAAACCAAACCGTGTTAATTTTCATATACATGATATTGAAACTAGAATCCCTAAGCTTCTATCAATAGGAAAGGATCACTTTTATTTCTGATTTGTGACCCTGCAGACAAGTTTGAATGGAGCGGAATGTTATCTAGGAAACTCAAAATAAGTACGACAAACTTTCGTGCAGAAAGGCGGCCTATAACATCAATAAGAAGAAACCCTAAGCATGGCATTCTTTCTTCTGCCGGACAACATACACATAAGCCGATGTAAGAAAACAAAGTTATAAAAGTAACAAGTACTTGCACCTGACTCTTACTTCATACTCAGGAAAAGAAGGCAGTTTCATTCCATCTAGTGCCGCACAGAGTATGGGACCTTCTTCTTCAAAGTGCCTGTCAGCTCTCCTACTTACGACAATTCCGGTTTTCTCATCCAAGGTTGCAAAATTGGACTACACATCAAAACTCACCCATGAGCCCTACGCAGAACATCCGAGAACAAACAAAAGCCAAAATTCTAAAACAATTGGTCTAGCAAGATATGTGTAATCAAAACAGCAGAACATACCAATAGCGCTCTAGCTGACATTATTAATACCAATCGAATGAAATTTCTGAAAACCAACCTTTGGTTGGATAATTGTTACATGTCTAAAAACGGTCAGTTATTAACTGATGAAGATCCCAAATACTAGTCGTTTTGTGCTAAAAGGTGAAATGTATCAAGCATGATAACAAAAAGAATATCAGTCTTTTTAGTGATGAAAGACTAAGCATGATGGTAAATACAAAACGTAAATAAACAATGAAACATTATCTTTGAAAAGGATATCAAGAACACTAAACAAAAACCCATATTTATATCCACCTTAAATGCAATATCCCCAGGAGACATTGCCAATCCCGCACCCATAGACTCGAATGCGCCCCGACCCCGGTAATAGACTCTTGGGTCATAACCCAAAAGGGAAAGGTGAGCAGTGTCACTTCCACAACCCAATCCCACTTCCACAGGGTCCATTAGACCATTAACACCGGCAGATGCAATAGCATCTAGATTGGGAATTTTAGCTGCTTGGAGAGGAGTCTTTAACCCAAACATTGGTATTGACACGTCTCCCAACCCATCAACCAGCACAAATGCTACTCTTTTCTTCACCTGCTCTGGCTTACCCATGAATATATATTTTTGTATTATAAGTAACTAAAATTGAATAAGTCCAAGAGCAGAGTCAGCAGATCATTCAAATCCTGCAACAAATAAGAACAATTATTGGAGCCAAATAGCTTTCAAATTTTGAATGACAATTGGGTTTCTTCTATATGCTAAGAAGACAAGAGTTGATTGTCATAAAGGAGAAAGCTTTAATTCTTGAAATTTTATCAGACGACAGCTGATTTCTACGCAAAAAGCCGAAATTCCAAATGGGTTTCTTAATTCAATCAAAAACAAAAACGAGAAATTAAGAGGGAAGAAAAATAAAAATCAAGCAGACAAGAAACATGCAAATTTTCTTTAATTAATCATTTATGTTTTTTGAAGTAGTACATGCTTTACCTCCAGAAAAAGCTTCCCCCAACAAGCTTATTCGTCCATACCCAGAAAGCTAAATAATTTATTTCGCTTTTGATAAAGAAGAGGAAGAGAATTATTCTGAAAGTTCCTCTACGGTTATGTTTTTTTGATTAGGGGGAATCTACGGAATTTGCCGTGTGGTTGATACACCACTTGCCGCTTTACTCTGCTGTACGGCCTGCGGCGAAATTGTGTCACCCGGGTCGGGCGGGGTTGGCAGATGGGTTGGTCCTTCTTTATTTTTTATATTTTTCCTTTTTATTAAAACTACTTTCGGCACGTGCCATGCATGTATTGAGCCACAATTGAAGTTTTAATATCGTAAAATGGGAACAACAATATGCCAAAAAAAAAAAAAAATTAGCTAAACAACTTTTCTTTACTATTTTTTTCATAAATGATCGATCTTTTTTATTTTATGAAAATAGCTGAAATTTTTTATTTTACAAAAATTATTATTTTTTAAGGAGTCAATCAGTGATTAATTCATAATTTATTAATAATTTATCATTTATAAATCAATAATTTGTTAGTTAAAATTAATTAATTACTAATTAATTTTAATTAATTTTTAAATAATATTAATTAATAATAAAGAATCGTCGAGTTAACCAGTGAAACTAAAGTCAATCAGTGATGGACTTTAAGTCAATCAAAAATTAATGAATAAGTTAATAAAAATGGTGATTTTTATAATTTTATAAAACTTCAATCATTTATGAAAAAAAACCTCTAAAAGGGTTATTTGTGCTAAAATCCAAAAAAAAAAAAAAGGAAGAAGAAAAGTTTACTTAGAAACTCAAAAAGAGAAAATACTTTAAAAAAAAGGTAAAACACCTAAAACTTATTATTTTGAACTATCATATAATGAAGATAAATATGTGAAATAGTAGAAATAAAATAAAAACAGAGTTAAACTTAAAAATAAAAAGATAAAGATAGAGCATCTAAAACTCATTGTTTTAAATTAATATAGGAATAACCACATATCCACCCTTTTATGCACTTCAGATAGGATTACAATTTAGAATTTAGGATAGGATTTAAGATTTAACATTAGGTTTTAATAATTATGGAAAACAAAATAAAGAATTAAAAGAATTAAAAGAAAAAACAAACACCCAGAGGGATATGGAAAACAAAAGGAAAAATAAAATAAAATAAAAGAATTAAAAGGTAAAAGGTAAAAAAAAAAAAAAAACACTTTTATTTTCACATCTTTATTCACATTCACAACGTTATTGTTATTATTCCCTAATGGTTGCCAATTGTTGTTGTTGCTGCTGCTACTATTTCTATCAACATTAAAATGGAGGACTTTCCCTTTCAAAAAAATAAAAAAATAATAATTAATAGAGGACTTTCTTCAAACAATTGTGTGCATTGTATTAATTTGTTATTTTTCAGTACCAATATTCAACCAGATTGAAGCTTAGAAGGAACAATTAGAGCCCATTTGTGTCGTATATTTAAACTCAAATCATTTGATTTTGTTACATTATTTCTCTTACAAAAAATTGTTAATGTTTGGTAGATGGATTCGTTCCCTTATTCGAATCATAGTTCGTGATTCGCTACAGTATTTTCTCTCACAAAAAATACACGTAAATTAAAATGGTTCTAATCACATGATTCTAATCTACGAACCAAACGCAACGTTAGAATTAAAAATGATGGTTTTAATTTTGAGTATACATTCCAAATAGGCCGTTGGTGTGTTTTATGAATATGTGATTTTTCAGTACCAATATTCAACCAGATTGAAGCTTAGAAGAACTTTCTTCAAACCACCCTATCTTTTACCAACTGGATTAGCATCCATTCGCAGAACATGCCCTGTTTGAATGAACTAGACATTCATATCATATAACATTTCAATGTTTACTTGGTTTTTTATTTATAATCCTGCTAGTATTTTACTATAATACGTAAAATTTGTGACAATAATTGCTGAGATAATTACATTTTTTATGTGATGCTCATTATTGTATTGAAAGGAAAATTAACTTTACATAATTCTTGGCATGATTCCTCGGAAGATTTGGCAGCTTGCATGCTTTCTCTGAAATATTGCAGCTGGCAGTAGTATCCCGTAAGCACGAAACACGTCCCAAATTCCAAAATATCATTTAACAGCAATTTAAAAGACTCCCTTTATAGAGTGGACTTTGATATTTTACTTCATTAGTAAGGATTGTATTTTTACTGTTAAATTGAGCTAAATGTATAATAAAAATAACTTTGTGTGACGTTTTGTAAAATTTTAATACGAATTTATATAAATTTAACCGTTAAAAATTTAATTTAACTTATAAAAATAATTATATTCACGTAAAGATTCCAAAAAAAAGGAAGAAGAAGTTTCAAGTTGCAACACTTGGAACATAAATAATGACAACTTTTTATGGTGGGCCAGGTAGGGCATTTTTTTTTTTTTTTTTTTTTTGTGAAATACCCATATGGTCATTAACCGGATGGTTTCAAATCCAAATATGCATATTACATGAGATTGGACTATAGAAAATTTTTAATTACGTTGTTGTTACACTTATTTTACAATCACCGTCTAATTTAGAGATTAGACAGTTCAAAAGTTCATAGAGAAGTGATATAAACTCATCTGAGCTTGGCACTTAGCGTCTGCGGCTTTGCAAATGACCTTCTTGGATGGATTCAATTTTTTTTAAGAGAAAAATGAGATAGATAACTCTTAAGATGTATGAGTCTAAATTTTTATCAATTATTATTGATTAATATCTTTTTTAGTTAAATAATTATAATAATTAAAAAGATATTAATTAAGAGTATATGATTCAAATACAGACTCACGCACAATAAAAATAAATTCAATAATTTTCTCATTTTTTTAAAATCAGAACACAAAAAAAAAAAAAAAAGAGGGCAGTGGCACAAATGAGTTTGGATTATTGGGGAGATTTATAGCTTTATCTACAACAAATAATTTTTTGAGGAGTGCAACAAGGCCGTTGGATGTGACATGATTTTGTGGTCCAAATTGAAAAAGGCAAGATGCATTTTTGGGCCATAGGCTAGGGCTGCTCTTACTTATATGATGTGTCCAAACTTAGTTACAAATTCACTTGAAAAAAAAAAAAAAAAAAGTTACAGATTTGAGGTCTTTCAGCTTTGAAGGAGATCTATTCCTTCGGCCAAGGCGTAACTTCGAACCATAACAAAAAGTTTAGAATTAGATTGATTTGCAAAAAAAAAAGTGACTTTTGCTTCTTTCTTTGTACATAAAAAGTCAATCAAAGTCGGTTCAAAAATATTTCAAACTTTCTCAATATGAAGTGACGTAATTTAATTTGCTAGATATTATTTAGAACATTAAAATTGGACACAGAATTAAAGTTTATTAACAACTAGTCATACGACATTAATTAGACTGGACTAAGTGTGGGGATGAAATTAAACAATCTTTATTTGGTATTTGTGTGGTTACACTAATAAGTAATCCCAGTAAGGTAAATAATCCTCTCCTTCATGGATTGAGTATTAATAATGTTGCAATAAAAAACTTATAACTTATCATATAAAACGTTGAAATATGTTATTCCCTCCTTATTCTTTTCCTTATTTTCAATGCATGCTTATCTAAATTTTACATTTGAAATTCATATATCTTTTGGATTAAAAAAATAATAGGGTAAGTAGAGAAATAACATATTTAGTATGATATTTAGTAAATTATAGCATTTTTTAAAAAAATAGTAGATTATAGCATAATTTAAAATTTAAAATTTTAAATATTATTAAAAATTTAAAAATATCTCTACGTCTCCTTCCTATCTCTCTCTCCTTCCCCCTATAGTAAAGTTCACCATGGCCAGCTCCGGCAACCGGTAACTAGATTTGGCGACCTGCGAATGTTTTTCGACGGCTATTTCTGATGACTGATAAATATCATATTAATTCAAAAAATTTGACGATCGATTTTAGTGACTGATAAATACAGTATTTACCACATTTATTTTAGCATTTGACGATCAGCTCTGGCGACTTATAAATACCGTATTTACTAGTAAATCTCATATTTACTAGTAAATATAATATTTATCATATTTATCTGATAATTCAATGAGTGACTCGGGCGGATGGTAAATACCTTATTACCAGTAAATCTTATATTTATGGATAAATACAGTATTTATTAGATAGGGAATTCAATGAAGTATTTATTGGTATTTGAAATTATATTTAGTGAAGTATTTACTGTTAAATACAGTAATTACCAAATCCATATCAAATCACAATCTCAGATATTACAAAATTACAGATCTCATAACCAGAAAAATCACAATCTCAACCAAGAATGAAACCTGCACAAAGAACCGACAACCAACTTCAGATCTACTCGTCGACGATCTCAAATCCACAGCCGAGAAGGAAATCTCCGAGAAAGAACTCGAGTCATCTTTCTCTCTCTAACATCATTGGATCTTTTCTCCATGGCTTGTGACTCCATCGAGCACGTCTCGCCATCAATGGATCTTGGCCAAAAACGGAAAAAAGGGACTACCTCCACTGACAATAATGGCGACTATCGATGGCCTCACGTTGCACCTAAAACTGCATCGCAAAATTTGCACGACAGTTTGTGATATCCAACCAAGGCTCAAACTCAAATCGCACAGTCCCGGACCAATCTCTGATGGGGACGATCTCCGATGAGATCATTCGACACCGATGACAAAAATCCGGTTACGATTCTCTGAAAACTCGCAGCTTCATCGATTCGTGGCTCCGTTCATCGCAGCTCCGAATCTAGTTTGCGACAAATCTACTGCTCTCGACAACGAACGACAACATCAGGAAATGAACCAGAATTGCAAAGATGAGCTCCGATTGGCGTCATTTACGACGGTGATAAGAAAAGCGAGAGAGACAGAGAAGAAAAAGAGGAGGGAGAGGAAAATTGGGAGAGAAAGCTGGTAGAGAGAGAGATCTAGAGGTACACGATTCAGAAGAGAGAGAAAGGGGGCTGAGTTTTACTGAAAGAGAAAAAAAACGTGAAAACCAAAAAATGAAAGGGTAAATTTGAAAAAGAGTATTTGTTTTTGGAATTAAAAATTAAAACATGCTATTATTTACCAACTTTTAAAAAATATGCTATATACTTCAAATGCACTTATAGAATATGTTATTTGGTGTATTTTTCCAAAAATCAAACTCAGTTTCTATTTAATCTTGATGTCTTAATTTTTTTTACGCCAAACACAAAATTATACCTAACATAATCACATTTTGTTTAATCTGATTGAATTTTAGACAATTAATCTTATGCAGTCTTCTAAGATTATGGAAAGTACTGATGGAATCATGCTACCTCTTACTATGTAACTGTTGAGATTGATGATAATACGGATGATAAGACAATACTAGCGGAAGGAAAAAAGGGACAAGGATAGACAGGATAACAACAAATTTGGAGAAAATTAGGGAATGTGTATCAAAAACTAAAGAAAAAAATAGAACACACAAATTTAATAAGATTCTACATCCACGAATTAAAAAGACAAAGAAAACACACAAATAAAGAGCACTTTTTAATAAGCTTTATATAAACATAAATTATAAATACAAGTACAAGTAAGTTCATTTTTTTCCCTAATCAACGGAATCGGGTAAATTACTCAATATTTTTAAATCTCATAACCCAAAAGATCTTCTAATATGAAAATAAATACGAACAAATACAAACCATCAAATAAGGGTACTCCCAATTCAAATAACTGTGTTTGGAATTGATCTATTTTTTTTCATTTTTTGAAAAAGAAAAAATAAAAACTTTTTTAAAACGACGTTTGACACAATAAAAATAAAAAACGAAAATGAAAACGATTTTTTAGTTTAGTGTAAAATGAGAAAGAAATGAAAAATGACTTTTAGTCATTTTTTATTTTTTATTTTTATTTTCTCCTCTCTCGAGCAGAGAGAGAGAGATATTAATGATTTTTTTATACTGAAAATAATCTCTTGATAAAACTACTAAATATATTTTTAAAAATAATCTCTATCTGAGATTGAAAACGTTTTTATTTTTATTTTCATATAAAAAAATAAATTTATTTTAAAATAAATTTCAAACGCGTCCTATAATTTTATGCTTTTTGTTTTAGGATTCTGCCTTTTTAAAAGTCTTATCATCGATATTAATTATAAATATTTAAAGAAGGAAATACCCCCATTTCCCGGCATGTGTTAGCTCACCAGTCACCGGCCAAGTCAGTCCACTTACCCGATCCTGTTGGCTTAGTCAGTGGCTCATTGCGCAACATAAACACAAACCATCCCTTTTCACCAAAAGTCAGCGAATTTGATTATTTGATTCCAACAATCCTCCGAGCCTTTTGTGTATGGCTAATGCCTAATGGCTATGAACAAAAAAATAATCCTCGGACTTGTAGTATTGACTTTGTTCCAATAATATTTTCGGAGTTACAATACCAACCAACAATGTTCTCTCTATTATGTATTTTCTTGCTTATTATTTTTCTCGTGTAATAAATTTTTGACTACTCTTTTAATAAATTGATTGAAAGAAGCCGAAAAGTAAAGGCTTACGTCAGCAAATGGAATCTCCAAAGAGATTCCGTTACGTGGATCCACGTAACTTTCCAAATCTTGAATATTATCTCACAGCCACAGATATTTGGACCACGTCTTGTCTTTATTAGGCGCGCGTGGCAATTCGCGCTTTCCTTCCACGAGCATTCTCCACCGTCAATTCCTCGATGAGAGCATCGCGTGAGTCCACTTGCAGCCATAGCGCGTGGGGAAACTCGGTGATTCGCTCTGGCCTCCATTCAGCAAGCTGCTGCTTCTGCTGAGAAAAAGCTTGACCCAATAGAAAGTTATTAATTAATTATTTACCCCCCACCTGGTGAAACTACAGAATCATCCCCAGTAAAGATTCCGAAATTTCCTATATAACCCCCCTCACCTTCTCATTTTCACAACCCAAGAAAGAGAGACGAGAGAGAGAAAGAAAGAAAGAAAGAAAGAAAGGTCACAGAGAGAGAGAGAGAGAGAAAGGTTGAGAAGAAGAAGAGAGAAGAAAGCGCATAATTGAGTTATTTTTCGGCCATTGATGGCAAACCGTGTTCCTCGTGAAACCTTCCTGAAAAGCCTCCGATACCTCACCTCGGCCACCGCCTCCTCCTCCTCCCCCTCCGCCGCCGTCGCCGCTGCCGTTTCGCCGCTCATCGTCACCTCGGACGACGCCGACCTTTCGGAGAGACCGAGATCGTCGCGAAGCGACGCTCTGCTCAACCTCGACGACTACGAGAAGCTGTTCGCGACGGTTCCGACGGCGAAGCTGGTGAGGGCGTCGGCGAACCTCCAGGCGTCGGCGATCGAGCCGCTTGTGGATTTCGGGATTCGGTTGATGAAATCGAGGCTGATGGAGATGGAGGTTGTGAGGGACATAATACTTGGGACGATACGACACACGTTTTACGAGCATTTCTGTGCCGGCGAGGACGCCGAGGCAGCGGGACGCACCGTTCTGCGACTGAGGGAGACAGGAATCAGAGGCATGCTGGTCTACGCTTTGGAGTATGCCACTGAAAACGACGCCTGCGATCGTAATCTCGATGGCTTCATTCGTACCGTCCAATCCACCAAGTCCCTTCCTTCTTCTTCCGTAAGTAAAATAATTTGTTCCGTCAAAAAAAAAAAAGTTATATATTTTTTTTTCTTTTGTTTGATTTTCCTTTATTTTGAATCATGTTTTTTTAAAAGAAAAATGATTTTCATCGTAACATTCATTCTTGTCACCGTCATTGTCATGGCGGGTATGTTTAACATAGCACATTAGAATCTTGTTAATTAGTATCTTCTAGGCAGATTAAAAAATTGACTTCTTTTTTCTTTTAAAACTTATCGTGAACGAAAAAAAGGAAATGATATCTAAACCGGGGTTGCCACGTGTACTTTTTTTTTTTTCTGTCGTTCTTTATGTCACGTGGACATTTGATGTCTGCGTGGATACAGCTGGGACTTGGTAAGTGTCTTTTCATGTGTATCTCTCTCTGTGGTAGTTGTGGGATATATATGCTCCAATCCCAACGTAAGCTTACGTGTTTCTGAGTTGGTTCCTGCTAGACGTCAAAGGTTGGAATCTTAAATCTTAAAAAGTAATGAATAAAAATTCCAAATCCAATAAATACGGAGGTGTACAAAGTACTTCGAAAAAACATTAAACAACAATGAAAAAGGAAAAAATGAGTTTGGCGTCTAGCATAAATGTATTTATATTTATATTATATAACTTTTCTACTAAGGAAAAATCGTCACTAGTTGATAATTTTTATGATATATTACTACAAGTTGTTCACAACTTGTGAAAGTTCTTTGGTTTTAGCGCATGAGAATGACACGTCTCTTTTTTATTGTAACGTGCATGCGTACGACAACAATCACAGACCAGCTTTATAATTGTCAAAATCACTGCAATTTGCCCCATGAGAGTGCTGGAGCGCGTCAGCGACTTGCTTAGATGGCAGCACAAAGACCCTTCTTGCCATCTTCCGTGGAAGCTCAACAGCTTCCCACTTTTCTCGGACTCAAGCCCAATGTACCACACCCTCAAGAGGCCTGAGCCACTGAGCCCAGAAGAAGAGCGGGACCTCCAATTGGGCCACGAGAGGCTCCTCAAACTGTGCCGGGAATGCGCCGAGGCCAACGTCCCGTTGTCCGTCGACGCCGAGCACACGGCGGTGCAGCCCGCCATCGACTATTTGACGTACGCCTCCGCGATCATGCGCAACAAAGGCAGTTATCCGATCGTGTACGGCACTATCCAGGCTTACCTGAAGGACGCAAAAGAAAGGCTGCTTCTGGCCAGCGAGGCTGCGGACAAGATGGGGATTCCAATGGGGTTCAAAGTAGTGAGAGGCGCGTATATGTCGAGCGAGACAAAGCTCGCGAATTCGCTCGGCTGCGATTCTCCGATACACAACTCGATTCAGGAGACCCACGATTGCTACAACGACTGCGCCTCCTTCATGCTCGACAGGATCGCCAATGGGTCCGGTGGGTTGGTTTTGGCGACGCACAATGTTGAGTCAGGTAAAAAATCAAACACTTGGCGTGCATTTTTATCTTGTTGGAGATTTGGTAAAAGGTTTCTTATATATAATGTGGAATGTTTTGGTGTGTGTAGG